ATCATCATCATCATCATCATCATCATCATCATCATCATCATCATCATCATCATCATCATCATCATCATCCACTGGGCCCTATAGCAACAGGAGATATATTATACAGAATCATGGAAGTGGAACATGGCCCCGATTTCGGAGGACCATGTTTCTCCACAAAGAGGTGGTTGTCCACGTAACCATGATCATTGCAAGGAGGTCATCTAGGACATGGTTTAAACACACGAAGCCAACTAGTTTGACATATAATGACCCATAGCAAGTGCAAACTGGACATGGATGTTGCTGTTTCAGAAAACATCCCCCCCCCTTCATCCACCTCATGTCCTCAATCCTCCCACCTCCCACCGAGGGCCTCCTTCGACGGCATCCATGCGGTGACCAGCTTGTGGCGGATCAGCTGGCTGGCCGAAACGGAGTCGCCGGTGGTACCGGGCGAACAGAAGGTGAAAGAGCTGAACTGTCGGGACACGTGGATCGCCCAGGCTGAAGTGGTTGGGGGGGTTGGAGATCTTTGTTGGGGGGGGCCACCCCACAAAACAGTGAACAAGATGAGGTGGAAAAAAGGTTAACCGTTAACCTCTTCATGTTCCGGGAAAAGCAGAGGGAACCAGATGGAGAAGCATTGTGAGTAGCTCCTTCTGAGCTGACAACCTACGAAAGCCCATAGTTTGGGTGGCTTTCCATGATGCTTGATACTGCCCCTTAGACTTCTATTGCTGCTATGGCTACGTTCTTCCCATCCGAGCCTCCTCGTTGGCTCGGAGGTGGCTGGGATGGGGCCCATGGGCTGAGGGAACCTGAAACCTTGTTGTGTGCCCAGCACGGAGGAGAGAGAGAAAATAGGCGGCATGCCACTACGACCCAGTTCCGGTGGTTGCACCATGGAACATCGATCGTCAGGGGGGTTCTTGGTCAGCACACCACCTGTTGGAAGGTTCTGCTTTTTTTCATCCCGTTCGCTTGCTTAGGCCAGTTCAAGCGCCAGCACACCACACACCTGTCCCTGGGCGCTGCGTCGCTTCCGGCTGGAGACGATGGGAGAGGAGGCACGGAGCGAGGTCGGGATCTCCAAAGAGCACGGACACACGGCGAACCTCTGGTTGGATTGAGTTTTTTCGTGCTGTTGGGTTTAGGGTTTGGGGTTGTTTTCACCAAGTCTTTTGGTGTTTTGATGTGTTTGGGTTTGCTTGCTTCATTGATGTGGCATGCGGCAGGCTTGTCATACTTTGCATCACTTTACGTCTCTTTTTACGTTGACGATTTAATGATCCATGACCATCCGGAAGCATTAATCATTAGTTGCTTTGAGACTGTGTGGGAAGTGCCTTGCAAATTCCCATCTCCCAGTTATTAAACATAGGTTTTGACCAGATGACCTCAGCTTGGGGGTGGGGCAGAAACTATTTCAACATCTCTTATATAAGGGGCCTAGCTTACACAATCAGGAGTCCTTTCACTTGCATGTGTCATCCATGGCGGCGCACTGAATTCCACGTCACCTGACTTCCGACTGCCCTTGCCTGCCAAGGACCCCCCATGGGAATGGCTACTCCAAAGTGTTCAAGGAGGTGGCTTGACATGAAGAGAAAGGGTTCCGTCAAAGGGATAGCACTCTAGCCCAAACCAAGGCGCGGCAATACCACAATAATACAGCAACATTGGCGTGGCAGAAGGTCCTTGCTGACTTTGTAATATAGTTTTGTCAGCTTTACACATTAATTGCAGCATAGTTCCTGTGGCATTTTTTGATCCTTCCTCTTTATGCAAGCCCTGCCAAGTCCATCATATCCTGAAGGTCTTGGAGTTATGCCTCAGTTATGCCTGGGATTTATCTATCATGGGCCCATGGAAGGATCTTTTTCAGACTAGACTCCCCAAGCTTGGGGGATTTGCTTGTGCAGGTGGTCTTCTTTCCCACCCAGTGCAGGGGGGGTCCTTGACCCGGAGCAACTGCTACATGTTCTTCTTCGGTCCAAGTGGTCCCAGTGAGCTGAGGGTCATGAAAAACCCGCTCAGACGAATGGGTGAGTGAGGTCCTTGAGACTTCGGGGGCTCGATTTCTTTTGCCAA